CTCTCCTGTGTATAGTGTAAACACATCCCCACTACGAAATCAAGTACGAAAAATAATCTTTTGCACGCTACAACTACATGTGTAAGTCCGTCTGCAACAAATACAAATAAACCAAATTAACAGTGAATGCTCCTGGTTTGTGCACTTCAAATGAACGCGACCGTGAATTCTGTACTCAATATATGCGATGTGCATGAAACAGTCAGAATGAAAATGCAATGTGTTTGCCAATTTTGCAAGTTCTTTGCTTTGAAAATGTACAAATATAATAACCAAATTTAAATTGATTTTCATTCGTTTTTTTAGATTGAATTTGTTGCTTAATTAAACTAAATGCTTGAAAAATAATTTGAATATTTTATGAAATAAATTAAATGATGCCGACACATTCTCAGTGATTCATCGAACGAAAACAAAAAGCCAAATATAATAGACATATCTATAGCTATATAGCATGTGATATTGTGTATTCCCATCCGAAAGCATCCGCATAATCTATCCCCTTTTGCAAGCCATTCATGGCTACATATTTATACATTTTGTGCAATATTGAATGCTCTGTGTGCCGTGGCGTCATGTTTCAGCGTTCATGGAAACCAAAAATAAAATCTATCTTTGCTGTTCATGACAACATGTATCAATAATTGCAATATATATAGTACGGGAATATCGTTTTGTTGAAATCGAATCGAACGCTAATCGCCATGTAAGAGACATACTTTTTCACTTACATTTATTCTTTCTTACTCTTTCTCACTTTTTCTGTTCGCCCGTCTTTCTTTCTTTCTATTTCGATGGTTTTTTTTTTGTCTTCCACATTTTTTCCACCACATTACGGTGGCTTTTTTCACTGATGCGAATGCATTACTTTCATCGTAATATGCACAAATTTTCAACGACACTGAGTCAGAATGGTTGAAATGCTATGCGGTTTATGGGTTAATCTCATTAAATCACATGAGAAATATTCCCTTTTCTTTCTCTATCTATCTCACCTTTTGTATAATGATGATGATGATGCACATACGTGCGAGCGAGCGGGCGTACGCGCGAGCGTATCTCATTGCAGGATGTGTTTTTGTGTGTGTGTGTGTTATAACTTAAATTAGCAAATAATGACCACTTTCATAACTTTGAAATTAACTCAATTACGCACATCTTAGCGGTGAAAATGTTCATATGCAAGCACTTTTAATATTACTGTTATTGTTATGGTTTTATTAATGTTTTGCAGACGGTATTGTCTTTCTCTTCCTTCTTTTCTGTTGGATAGACAGCTAGACATCAGACTTGTTTTATGTACACATTGCCAGTGTGAGAGTGGGAGAGAGAGAGAGAGATAGAGAAAGATAGAGTGTTGTGCACAATATATACACTTGAAAAATCGGTATATATTTGCATTTGGCACTGTGCAACTATGGCCAGAGACGCTTGCATATATATATGCAGCAATATACATTATACAATATAACGATTCGTATCATTTCGTTTTGTGATCCTCGTTGAAACGTACATGCCGAGTTCCAGTTGGATTATTTACACAACAATAGTACAACAATGAACAAAAAGACAACTATTCTGCACGGAAGATAAGAGAACGAATTTTTTTTTACCACAAATTTTGACATGTTTATTCTCAAACGAAAATAATCCGGCAACTGAATATTAATACTTTTCTCATTTATCAAAAATACAACAGAAGAAGAAAAAAAAAACACAAACTGCTAGACAGATACTTTCAGACGTAGCTTTGGAAAAACGAACGCCAATTGGGTGGGTCGAAAATATTTGCCGGTTGTATTTTGTTTACTTTTTTAATTACTGCAGTCAAATATTTGTTGAACATTTTCAGTGAATGCACATTTCTACAGAATGATCTCACTAATGTTTGGATTTACCATTTACTCAACGATAACAAATGAAACCACTTTTAATAGGCAATTTTCAACACGACTCTTTGCATCAGTTTGCATACATACACAAATTAATGCGAAAAAGAAAATGTTCTTCATTCAGAAGTGGTTTAAAATAAAACCAAAATGGAATGGATAATTAAAAAAAAATATGTATATATCGAATGCTCTTTTATCGTCTAAAACACTTTTAACGAATAGAGCAGCTGAAATGTACGTTATACCGTTTTTAAATTCTATATTATGTATGAAGAAAGTTAAATTTAAAACGCTGTTTAAAGTTCATCATGTAAATTAAAAAAGTAAAAACATATGCACCAATTTCGAGTGAGCCAGTTTTGTCAGAGTAAATATTAAAATTTCCTTCCGTCGCATCAAGTGAAATTGATCATTTGCATGGAATATTTTTAGTCTGCGATGCGATTTATGTGTGCATCTCATTGCTCTGCACTGTCTCCTCGCTTGCGCAACCCATTGGTATTGGTAATAAAATTTAAGGCTTAAAATCTATAACCCTCTTAACAAACTGCAAGCAAATATAGTGTAAACGTATTATTTTATCGATGAATAGATTACGTTTGATTTTGGGCCGGATGAAATAAGCGGTTGAAATCCAAACAGAAAAAAAAATGATTGCTGTTAATCTCTTGGCATTGGCAATGGAAAATTAGCGTCACGACGCTAAACGAAACGCATGCGCATTTGCGATTAAATGCACGGTGTTTAAATGTTGCTTGGTGGTAGTACAATTATTGACAATGCACTGTGCTTCAAACCATTTAAATAGAGAGAAAGAGTGTTCATTTTTTTGTTGCTGCCGCTGCTGCTGCTGCTGTTCGATATAGCATACAAAATGCATTAACCGTCTGGATGCTCAGAGACTACAAGTGGCGTGCACAGTGGTGATACACACATGTTTTACTCTCAGATGCGCGCCGAATGTGTGTGCATGCTTCAAATGAAAGTGAAATGACAGATATACTACATGGATGTATAACACGTTGCATTGTCATATCGAATTGCCGATGTACAACAAAAACAAGAACAACAACAAAAAGAAGAAGAGCACGCCGTGCTGTATGTGTGCGAATTGCGAATTATGTGCAAAAGAAGCCAGTGGGATACGAAAATGCTGAAACAAATAAAAAGGAAAACCGAGGGGCAATGCGAATACTCTCTCGATTCGGCTCTTGAATGTGAAAATTACATCGAATGTGTCTGTTCCTTTAAAGCAGCTAGAAAACGTGTTGCAATCATAGAGAGGCAGCCAAAACAGGCAATGCCTAGTTGCCGCGCAAATGAACGAATGAGCGAACGAGCGAACGACGTGAACGTTTGTATAAATGCAAGCTTTTTTTTCTTTCAATTTTATATCAGAGTATTTGCTCCTCTTTCCCTGACTCTTTTAGTCTACCGGCCTCTCTCTCCGGTTATGCCATTTCAATGTGATTTCTATGGATAGCGTGTATGGTGTAGGTACCTTTCGTTTTCACTCAAACAAGCATCGGATACAAGTTCATGGTTACTTTCCCCTTTCGCACAAGTTCATGTTCATGTTCAATTGTGTAGCGTATGCCGCACCGCGCGCTCTTTCTCTCCCTCTTTCGTTGCATGTGAATATGCATGGTGCTGACGGGCGATAGCAAGGATATAACTGTGTTTTCCTTTTACTCCACTCCCCTTCGTCGTCCTATAATAGCGACGTGAATAAAAAATAATAATAAATAAACGGCATAGCGCAAAGGAAGCCGCAACCACTGTGTACCCCAATTGAATTCAATGTGCATGTAGTGGTGATGAAATGCCTGTAAAATGATATATACATACACACACGTTATAGTTATAGTCCAGTCGTCGCGGGATTTTCATAGGCACGCACTCACATATATTTATTGATACACCGCACTACCAACAACAATATTCAGCATCGGCTTATTGCGTTGATGGGTCTGTGCAATATATATTCAAATTCATTCTCTGGATGCGTGTTATTATTTATATATGTATGCGTGACAACGACGACGACGACGACGACGGCGGCGGCGGATGGCAGCGCACTCGGTATGCAAGTGTGCGTGATGCACATTCTTTGCCGATCGAGTCGGTTTTTTCGGTATATAATATGTACGTATGTCTGAAAACGAATAACTCACTTTGCAGCGCTTGGTGTGTTTGAATGTCTGTGTCGTTCTCTCCGCTTGTTTTCAAATCTATAGCATATAGAAATTACGTATATTTTTCTGTCTGTTTCCTCTATCGCGCGAGCAAAAAAAGCAATGTTTTTGTGTGCTTCGACTGCTCCGGCTGCTGCTCTTCAGAATCAAAATATTCTCTCATAAAAGCATAAAATGAAATAAAAAAAAAATATAACAAGGCAAATAACAGTTCGCATATACAGCGTGGTTTTCGCAATTTCACTTCTCTTTCGCTCAATCGTCTTCAACACAGATAGAACACAAATATAAAAGTATAAAACTTAACCAGAAGAAGAAGAAGAAACAAAAACCAACCGTATACACCTAATGCCACTTTAAATTCGTTTTCGCTTTCCGCGGATCAGTATGGAGTTAGTAGTGAAGCCGATCGGTTAAAAAAATTGCACGCACTTTCTTGTTTATACCGAAAACAACAACAAAAAATTGTAGCAACGCCGACGACACAAACACCAATTTAAATAAAAAAAAAATTAAATAAATAAAAACAAATTGAATAAAAAAAACTTTAATTCGAATTGGAAAATAGTGTGAAAAACTATAATGAACTGAAATTTAAAAAAATAACGTGATAAAAAGTTTTTTTTTTGATATAATTAATCGTTTTTTGTACTCAAATTTAAAAAAAAGTCATCACTTTTTGAAAAAGAGTGATTCAAATCGACAAATCATTAAAATTTCGGCACGTTTTTTAAAAAAATATTTAAGTATATTTAAAAAAAATTTCATAATATATATATATATATAGCAATAATCCTCAAGACTTATGTGAACGTTTTTAACAGACAATTTGAATCGTGACTATAAATTAATGAAATCTATAATTTAAAAAGCAAAAACAAGACTAAGAACTTATATTCAAGTGACTGTTTTTTTTAAATAGAAGAAAAGAATGTCAATTAAAAGTGACAAACTGTAGAAGCTTCATTCAAACGGTTTCGTTTGTAATAATCACGTCGTAAATGTTATGATAATGAATCATTGATAAAACTGAATAGAAATAATTTGTGAACTTTGCCGGGGTCGCGTTAAAATTTGTTCTTTTACTTTAGTTTTGTTTGTTTGTTTGTTTGTTCATCTTTATAATTCGATCAAGAGAAAAAGAAAAAGTAAATATAACGCGCGCGCAGATTTAATTGTACGGATAGACATTGTTGAGACAATTTTATTTTGTGTTTATAACGAAAATAGAAGCAAAAAGTGACGCATAAAAACTGACGACAAAATTTAGTGAGAATTTTTAATGGCACCGCGACGAAATAACAGCAGCCCTTCGGCTATCGATGTACATAATTTGGTTGGTCTTGAGTTTGATGCCATGGATCATTTCCCAAATTTACACATAAAAATTAATAGCAACAACACCAACAACTGTAGCAGTATCAGCAACAGCAGCAGTAACAAATTAGCAAGATGCTGTGTTCCGACCGGCGACTGCTTCAAATTGAATGCTCTCGATTATGGTTTAATTCAATCGAATAATTTAAACGATTGCGTACGCGTCATTTGTAGCAATGAACGTTGCACAGCTGGTCAGTATATGCATCGTGAATGCTTTGATGCATGGGAAGATGGTGTTTTAACATACTTGAAGTCAATTGGACGGGCACGTTCATGGTCGGATCGTCAACGTCAACAAAATCTCTGGACAAAAAAAGGATACGATTTGGTATTTAAAGCATGTGGCTGCAAATGTGGACGTGGTTATTTGAAAAAAGATTTGGATTGGCTGGCGACAACCGAAAATCGAAATTTAATCGTTGACGATGATGCAACAAAAAAGAAGAAAAAACGCAATCGTAACAATCAAAAAACGGCACTATTGATTGCCACAAATAATAATAATAACATCAACAACATCAACAACAATCATATCAATAAAAATGATAGCCACGATTTTAGTTTGCTTGATTCATCGTTAACATCAAATACATTCAATGCATCGTCGATTTGTATGGAAAATAGAATGTTTTTGAACACCAATCGTCGTCGAACAAATAGCTTGTCATCAAGCTTAGACGATTGCATTTCGCCACCAGCATCAACCAACAGCGACACAATTTGTTCACCAATTGAAATGATCCAAAAGGAAAAATCAAAGGTTGAAGCATACAGCGAACGTGTTCGGTAAGAATACAATCATACAATATTACATTTACTTTATTAATTTGTTACGATTTAAGAAAAATGATTACGTTTTGTTTTTATTTTATTTTTATTCGATACAAAAATTGCGGTCTGCATATTTTTGTTTTAAACGAAAACGCATGTTTTACAAAGTGAGAGAGAGAGAGAGAGAGAGAGAAAAATGCCAAAGCGTTAATTTATTTCGACGTATATTCAAATTGTGGCTGGAAATTTGTTCAAAAATTCAGAGCATTTCGAATTGAAATGCAATTGTATGAAATCAATTTTATTTGTGTCTGTCTGACGTTGTTGTGAGTATGGGTTTTCATTAATTACTTTTCATTTCGGTCGCCTCTTGTTTTCCCGACAAAATACCGAACTTGGTAAACAATCGATTTTCATTTCTTTGTCGTCGCCAATATAATAGGCGCGCACGTGCACAATATACATTTTGTTAGGATAATATGTCTCATGAATTCCAGATCGGTGTTTGGTGTGTGTTGCACAAGCCGACTATGCTATTCGATTTGATGTGTGTTTCGTTTCCTTGTACAGGTTTCCACTGCACATACAATACATAAACCATGCGTTAGTCAAGCGTGTCTGCCAATGCAGTCGCGTATGTGTTCCCTCTTCAATGCGAAAATTCATCCGCTTGGCTTTTTTTCTCGTCTGCTTCTCGATTTTGAATGAGAGAGCACATACAACAACGAAAAACAAAAAAAAAAAAAAACACCAACAACCGACGCACTGAATTTTACGATTATTTCGCTGTCGTTGAATTGAAATTATCTCTGGTCGATTTGGCTGGAAATTGGCACTTATACCAATAATGATTTACATCAAAGTCCAGTGTAAAAGCTACAATTTCAATTAGATATTGTTTCGCATCAATAAAATCGTAATTTTTTTCCTGTAATTTGTAAGTACAAATGCGTACATTTATTAAATTTCAAGTGTTAACTTGAAAATATTTCTCTTTTTTTTCACGAAAAATTACCCGCTGATATATATACGCAATAATATAAATTCGATATAGAGCGGCTTATGAAAAGTATATTTTCGCCCATGGCTACCGCTGTTGAAAATTCAAAACAAGGGAAATCTAATTAATTTTTTTTCGTCTTCTTATTAATATATTTGAATTTGCGTCGTTCACTCAATTATCCAATATTTACACTATGATACCTTTTCAAATATTAGGTTCTGTCTTGAATTTTTCCAGGCGTGAAAAGCGATCTTTATCGTCAAGCGCCTTTTGTCTACATATAAAAACCGAATTATAAAGAAGAAGAAGAAAAAAAAAGAACGAATAAAAACATACAATACACAAAACAACTCATCGGAAAGGTGGTAGTCGGCCAGTCAACAGTATAAAATCAAACTGATTGACGTGAAGTGCGTTTACGCGAAAGATTAGCTATTTTACAAGTGTTCTTCTTCTCTCCCCCCTGAAAATATATCGCGTTGCGCGGGTTTTATCTCTCACACTCTTTCCAGCTTATTTATATTTTCGACGTATTTATTTTTAATTCCCAGTTCTAATAAATATTAATCTTTTATTACTTTGCCATCGAAAATCCGAGGGCTTTTTTTCTCTATATATTTAAAATTGTGCATAAATTCCGAGAGGTAATTCTTTATTTATAAAACAGCAAAATACACACCGTAATTCAATCGAACGTTCGCGTGACGCATTCACTACAGTGAAGGAAAGATAATAATACGAAAGAAAATTACAAATTACAGAACCGCTTCAACGAAACTCATTGCGATAAGATAACCGAAAATGTCATTACCAATTTTATTTTCTAGCTCCTTTTCTTCTCTTTATTTCTCTTTCTCGCGCCTGAATCGTTTGTAAGTGTAAAAAAAACTCGCTCATTTTTAATTCAAATTGTTTTCCAATTTGGTTTGTGGCAATAATTTGTCTAGTAATTACGTTGCCACAGTAGCCAGTCACTCTTGAAGCTAGAGGGGAGAATGATTCGTATTCGACAGTTAGGAAATTAGATGCGAAATTCCGTTCGCTCTTTACATTTTGCATTTTTTTTGTTGTTGTTTGACAACACTCTAATAAAACTTATTTATCAGATGTCTTTTTTTCTCTCTCTCGTATGTTTATTCAGGTGGAAATATTAGGTTCAAAAATGAAAAAAAAAGAGATAAAATAATCGATACTAACTTATGCGTGAAAAGGCTATTTATATTCAAAATGAATTACCATTTATGTTTTCGATGTCATTTTTTCTGTCTATTCACAGCTCAACATCAGGATGTAATGGTATTTTCTCGAGACGATTGGACTTTTCCATATTCAATATGCTGCCAAAAACTAGACTCAATTCCTATCAAATAAAGGTAAATTATTAAATTTTAATCTCTATTCGAACATATATTGTGACTGTAATCTAAAACAATGCTCGGATATATTTGATTTAACCGAAATAATGATAAATTCTCTTGCCGAACATTGTGTGATTTTAATTTAATAGAAATGTGACAAAGTTTTTCGTTGGTTTTCGTTTCATTCATGAGTAAATCTATTTTGCATGTTCAATTCGACTATTGACCAATTTATGTCATACAATGAAAGTCATTTTCACTGATTGACCACTAAATTTTTCCAAGCACCATTCATTTTTCCCTTTAGTATACGTTCTCACAATGTGCGTATCACCAAATAACCATTGCACCTTTATGAGACACACGCTAAAACAATATGTACAGCAATAATACATAATCTACCTATTTTAGGGAAACTTAAATAATGCCCAAGGGCGCAGTTTGTGGCAAAGTTTTGTGTTTGTCTTCTTCTTCGTCGTCGTCGTCATCGTCATCTTCGTTGTCTTTTTGTTATTGTTGCACATTTTCCATTTCATACTGGTACCAAGACTTTATCTGCATGATATGCGAACATGTTTATAATGCCATAAACCGCATAAGTCGTGAGTAAGCGAGCTTCATGAGCATACTTAATATGCAGAAATGTTGCGTAGACGATGGTATTTCGGCTAAGACATTTTAAAGAAGATTGCAAGTTTTAATGTTTATACATACGATTTTCACCGTCAAATGGTATTTCGACTTTAATGCTTGCAATATATGCGTGCTATAGTTTTTGGCTTTGCTAAATGAGCACAATTTACATTTATCGACACTGAACGTGGTTTTCAGCAGATCTTTTTTCACAACCAAAACGACCAACAGATTTTCACATTCGCACATATTCAGCCCGTACGCAAAGGGATCACTTGCGAAATACACGAACCAACGAAACGAAAAAAAAAAAATAACGAAATAAAATGAAATGTGTTTTGTATATAACAAATCATCACATCATCATTGCGCTTCTACTGTGATTCAATAGACAAATGTTTCTTTGTGATACGACTTAAGTATTGTTTGAAACAATCCATTTGTTATACAGAGCGAAATGTGTTTCATTTTATTAACTTCGCATTTTCTGTATATTCGAAATGCTTCAAATACATCTTAAAACAATGCCGACTCTCAATTCTCTGTGATATGTGGTTTGAATTTAGCTTAATGTGCGCATCGAATAATATTCAGACGCACGAGAGAAGAAAGACAGAGAGGAAAAAAAACCAGATGAAAATAAAACTTATCAAATTTAAATGATTTCGAATGTGTGAAGAATAAACAGATTTGGGGTCTGGGCAAGTGATTACATTCTGTCAAAATGCTTGTTGTTCATAATATTAAAATAGTAGTAGTTGGTATGGTAGCGCAAGAGTGAATTTTCAATGTCAGTTATTTTGAAAAGGGTCAACGACGACGATGTTGATTTTGACCAAGAGCACATACATATATGTGGGGTGTGTACACGTTGTGTACTCTCCTCTACGTGTTCCATTTTCAACCGCACAAAGATAGAATATTATTTTACTCATATGCTTATACCGATTACCGATATGTGACGTGTACTATCCGGCATATGGGGTTTTTATTCTTATCTGGAGACGATGCAAAAGAAAAACACACGCACACCACACTCACAGAAAACTCTGGGAAAACAAAACAAATCGACTGGCAGCGTCTGGACGTCAACCGACCAAATATAAAACCTAATTGTGACTTATGTGAACCACTAAATCTATTTAAGCCACCAACTTATCACACCACCAGTTGCAATACACGCGTTCGTATGTGGCTAAAATTATATGTTATGTTGTTTGGTCAGTGTCGAAAAGTCAAAATGAAATACAGTTAGTATTATTTATTAAATGCTAATCGATTTGAAAGGGCTTTGGATTACTTAACGTACGTGATAGATCAACTCATTTAAAATGATCATGTATCTGAAATTGAACCACTCAAAACAGACCACCACTTAAATATAGTCAGATAATTTTCGATTCTCGATTCGAAGAGATTTATGAAACATTCAATGATTTCAAATTGTTTCCGTTTTGTTTTTTGTATGTGCGTGTTTTGATTGATCTGTGTATAGATGGAAGACGAAGGTAATCATGGCAACGATGAGACTCGCCTCTTCATTCTTTCTTCGTTAGCTCAACACCACAAAAGCCGTATCAGTTGTGTTTTATGCGAAGATTCTATGCTGGTATTCGATAGATATCCACTCGTCGATGGTACATTCTTTTTGAGTCCAAAACGGCATACATCCGATTGCATCGAGGTAATAATTCAATTATTTTAATTCAGTTTTTCATTTAAATAATTGCATTCGTCATTGTCCCATCAATTTGAAATGCTTACAATTTGATTTATTCAGGTCAAGTATGAAGGCCAAACACAATATCTGACTGCACTTTGTATGGGATGCTTAGAAGGAGTTTCAACCGATCGCTTCATTCGCTGCCGGTTAGTATATTAAATAAAAAATCTTAAAATTAAAATGCTTAAAATGAATATTCATTATTTTTCCTCGTGTTTTATATGAAGATTTTGCTCGACCAAATGGAATGGATCGTCTTTAGTGCTCGGAACAATGTACGCATATGACATTTTTGCTGCAATGCCATGCTGTCCTGATCGACTAACTGTACGTATATAAAAAAATAGACATATATTGTTTTGGTTATTTGTTAGAATAGTTCAATAATTCCAGGTCTAATGTTCATATCTTTTATTTATATATTTTTTCTTAATCGTATGAATATTTGTGTTTTTTTTTCTTATCGTTGTCATTGTGCAGTGTAACAGCTGTTTCAAGTTACTGCTCTATCCGCATCAGAGACTGAACTTCTTTAGTGATTATAGCCATGTGGTATCATGTATTCATTGTACAGCTCAGGACACTCACTTTGTAAAGCCATTGTCATACTGCTACACCCGTCAAACGGCACCGGCGTTTAGTCAGTGGCCATAGCATAAGGACGCCACACTGGAAACCATTGGTTCCAGTGTTGGCCACCAAAGCAGCTTAATTCAACAACATCATCACCACCACCAGCAGCAGCAGAAACAGCAACAGCAACAGCAACAGCAGCAACAGCAGCAACAGCAACAGCAGCAACAGCATCAACACTTGCAACAATCCAAAACAATCAATGATACAACCAACGCGTATCTGAATTATTCAAATAATTCCAATGGATTGGAAATGCATCATGAAAAATCGTTGAATGAATCGACACTGTTGCATGATTTCAAATCGATAAAATTGAATGATTCAAATGTTGAAAATGTGATGGACAAATATAAGTCAATTCATAACGAACGCGCCATTGTAAAATCAAATGAATTTAATAAACAAAATCAATTGGCATTAAGTAAATTGTCTTATAATCAATGGATGTCATCGCAAAGTCCTGATCCATTGAATAAATCGTTCAATTATAAAAATGATTGCAAAGATGGTTTGTGGACATCAACACAATCATCACCAAACAGTACTCAACGCGAACAATTGAAAAATCAATTTAAAAAATCAACATCAACACCGGCCAATTTGTGGGAAAGTCCAAATTTAAAATTGTCACCACAATCATCGGCATTAATGATAAAAAATGATTCATCCAGTTCGGTTTGGTATACACCACCGCAAATTCAATCGCCGGCCATTTCAAGCGGTCAAAGTATTTGGGATTCACCCACATCATCCATTCTAAATCATTCGGTGGAAAGTTTCTCATCGGATTGTGCTGGTTTATTACGATCACAAGATCTATCGCCAAATGATATTTGGAGTAATTCCGGAAATAAATTACAAACAACAAACGGATTCAATTCATTCAAAACGGACAATGTTTGGTCAAATGGTTCGCCAAATGGTAATAAAATTGAAAGCACCATTTTTACATCGACACCATTTAAATCGGCGGCAACTGTCATTGAGAGTCAAAAGGATTTCAGTAAAAAAATTGCAAAACCAACAACAACAACCAACACATCGGGTGCCGGTATCGTAACTGTGAATACAGACACAAATCCAGCTAGTTCATCGTGTTTACAATTATTTTCCGATGATTTTATGAACTATCTGAATATGATTAATTGAACAAAACAAATTGAAGCAACAAAGAAATCAGAATAACAACAACAACAACATAGTAATATTATGGCATAATAAGATAATTGAATTGTGTCAAAAATATTAAGCAAATTCTTTAGTTGAATTTTACCCTTTATTTTCATTTATTATTTCAAATTGTTTGATTTTTTATCATTATTATTATTATTTTTATTTCATTAATTCATTTTCGAGATGAAAAAAAGAGTGTTTGATGTTTTTCGATAACAATTTTTCTCATTTAAACATTGTCGCATCACATTACCCATACATACACAGAGATACACATTTGATGGGAGACAACAAGCGACAACGATATATAGATCTATTTATGATTCTTTTATATTTTTTTTTTAAACAAATTTATAACTTTTCTGTTCGCAATATCTATACATCAGATATAAACATCTATATATTTAAAAGAAATATTTGTTACGTAGTTTTATTTTTAATTTCAGTTTTTTTTTTATTTGATTTTATTTTATTATTTTGAATCTATTTGAAATCTAAGGCTCATTATGCTAATGTGAAAATTGCTAATTTAAAAACAAAAATTATATTCGAAATGGGAGTATTTAATTTTAAATATTATTGTATTTATAAACAAAATTGGTTTGGATGAAAAAGCTCGCATTTTTTTATGCTGAAGACAATGAAAGATATCAATTTGATAAAAAATGTATGATGAAAACGGGTGTATTTTTCTTTTCATAATTGGAATTAAAATGTTTATTAGATCATATATTTTCCATATCTCTCATTCGCATAATATGGGAAGAATGGCACGAAATGTGAAAGCCACCCACAAGAAGAAAATAGTTCTTTTTTTTTGCATATAACAAAAGAAAAACGTCATATATACTCGTTCATAGGTTAAAAAATATTGAATATTCCCCAATTGGGTAACATTTAGTTTATAAGAATCTCTCCTGTATGATTTGGAGTTGCAAGAAATTGAAGAAGAAAATCAACAGAATGAAAGATAAAAAGCGCAAAAAGCAAAATCCGATAACAACGCAACAAAGTACGCAACAAAGTTTACGGAGAATTCATATTTTTCACGGTTTTTTTTTCTCTTAAAAAAAAATCAGTTCACTTAAAAATCGTAGTCTAATAAGTACATGTATAAATTTTATATTACAACTGTGTGTTTTTTTTCGGTAGGATTTTTGATACGAGCAACTATTTAATATTTTGATACGAATCGAAACAAAAGCAAAAGCAAAAAAAAATATGTCAGTTTTTTTGAAAATTATATTCAGCATTACCCTGACAAACAAAAAATAGTAATTTATACTTTTTATACCGGATATAGAATAGTAGATCTTTAGCTCCTTTATCAATCAAAAAATCACTCGCTTCGTGTAACATGGATTTAAAATGCGTTACGACCCACAAACACAATTTTGTTTTTCTCTCACTAAATTTAAAATTTGTAGACGTTTATATAAAAACTAAATAAATGAAAAGATCTCCAATTTGAGTGAATAAATAAATTAGAAACGCAAATTAAAACAAATAATCCAACAATTGGATTAAACGATATTTATTATAAAAAATTGTGTAGTTATGTATGATCCGAAGCAATAACAATGAGATCAATAACATTTAAACAACAAAGATATCATCAAAAAATAAAAAAAATAACTAAAAAAAAAACAAAATCAAGCATTTAAAGCAATGCAATTTTGTTTTCAATTGAAGCAAATGCAAAAGAAATGAGACTAACGATACGATGACATCTGAACAATGTTGAAATGCAAAATGATAACAAGATCAATAAAAATTTATGTCAGATCGGTTATTATATCACTATTGTAAAAGAACCAGAGAACATGTCAAGAACAAGATGCAAAACCAACGAATGCGAAGCGAACGAAAACGAAATTGAAAAGGCAGCAATATATTTAATTTATTTGATACAAACAAAAATTATATTTAAAAAAAAACGGCGTATATAAATATTTGTATATACATTTGTACGCATTTACATTCAAGCTGCCCCTGTGAGGATATGTTGAAAGAATATTACGATTGTAATTTAATAGAGAGATAGATGGTATTGTACGTTTGTGTTTATTTTATGGCAAATGATGAAATTAAAGCATAAAAAAGAACAGAAGGATTATTGCTTAGATCGATGAACAAAATAAAAGATATGAATTGAATGGTATTATAAAAGAATGATAAGAAATAGAATTAGAATCGAGAGAGAAACAATCGAGTCAGAATATTCTTAAAAGAACATGTGCAAAACGTTGAAAAAAATGTTTACACTGATATTTTGACCGATGAAAAGCGAATACGGAACCTTATTTCATTATTGTTCCTCATCGTGGTCAAATGATTAACAATTGATGTTTTTTTTCACCTTGAAAATGTTATATGTTGGTTGTACCATGTCGATGAGAGATTCAATGTGCATTCGTTTTTTTTTCTAAAACCCTATATTCAATAAAAATGAGCATTAGTAAACAAGAGCAAATAACCTAACAATGTGATGAAAGATATTGTGGTAAAAATTTGTGGTGTTTGAATTTTTTGATTTTTATACATATTTTGTACTGTATACGTTCTGAAAAAAAAAACAAAACTAATTCATAAAAAAAAGATTCGTTGACATGCAAAAACTAACAAAAAAAAAATGGGAAAAACTAAGCAACAAAAAAAAATAATTGTTTAAGTTGTCAAAATTTTTGAAACAAAGAAAAAAACTCAAATATGTGATTCGGTAATTATTCTCTTTTGTTGAAATTTTTTCTCTATTTTCATTGTTTTTCCATCTCCATTTCGCAAAAGAACCATTTGTAAGCGTTTATTTATGCGTTTTTTTTATTTTGAAGATTGGAGACAATGAAAATAAGCTGGTCAAAAAATGTGAAATTAATTATAAGGCATCAAAAAAAATTCCATTATATGTTGAACGGATTTAAATCGGCGGTTTTTTTATATATACCAAAATTCATAAATTTTATAAAAAAAAAAGATATGCATCATATTTTAGGATTAAAGAGAAGCAAAAGACACGACTTTTCTTAAAGAATTTTTTTCATGATAAATATTAAGGCTAACACTCTAAATTTAAGTTGAAACATGTCAGCAATTGACCATAAATTGAATAACACTTTGCACAAATCGGTTTGCAAACCGATCGATTTGAGAAATGCACATCTATTCTCTTTCGAAAAAAAATTCCGTTTTATCCAAATTCATTGTGATTAAATCATACTAATTATTCAAAATTAATGATAAATTGATGCATTCAATCCATCTGCATTTCATTTCCGATTCCACACAAATCAAACACATTTTTCGAACTCGAACATACATATAAGGGATATTTTTAAAATGTAATGCGATTGGAATACACACGATTTTGAAGGGAGAGACAAAAAAAACATGAAACAAAAGAGCAAGAACGAGATGTGAATTGCTACTAAAATAATGTGAAAGGTGATAAAAAACGTCTAAAATTGAACACAGATATTGCCCAATTGAATGAACGAATTATATTATACATTGAACTGTACGCAAAACATTAGATTCGTAATGCCATATTTTTTTAAGATTGATTATAAACGCAAATTTCTCGCTTCAAATTAGTCATAAAATTACATATAAGCTAATCAACCCCCGCAACAAAAAAAAATTCAACCACTTAGTGGAATAGGTGAATCGAATGAGATTTAAACAAGAGAATATACCGTAAATTTTCCACATCATATGTGAAAAGCTCACCTTAAACCGAAAATAATAAGATGAATGGGTTGATGTTTATGAATTTCCACAACCAAACGAGCTAAGAGGCTAGACACATCTCACACACTTACTAATTAACATTGATCTTTTTGTCCAATTTATTGAAAAAAGAAACAGTTTTA